TTAATTTTCTTTGTGAAATGACAGTCCCTTTAAAATTTCCCTAGATTTTTCATCTAACTGAAATCCCTCATTCATCCTGATAATCTATTAAGTCACTTCTGGGCCTGAGCTGTCTTCCAGCAACATGATTAGACCTTTTAGCTACTTGAACTTGTTCTGGCATTCCATACCTGATTCATACTATTCAGAATCAAACCTCCATCTACCTCCCAGAATCTTACCAAATTTCTACATTTTTAATTGATCTAGCCTCAGGAACATTTTGACAAAGACCCCAACCTATTTGAAGTGATATAAAAACAGAAAATTCTGGAGAATCTCATCAGATCTGGCAGCATCTACCTGTTGAAGTTCTCCAGTGAAGTTGCGGTCACCAGAATCTGCAGCACTCTGCTTTTAATTTGTCTGTGGTCGTGTTTGTTATCACCCCTGAATGGCCTAGCTGTAATTTTGAGTGTGATGGCTTATTGGTCAAGATCCCCTACTAAAGAAAGTTGTTCTGTATTGGATCATTTTAAAAACTTTAATTACACTACATTTTAATCATCTTTATTAAAAGCAACACAAACTGAGTTTATACAGTTTTGTAATTCACTTGTTTTAATCCAGTATCATTCTGAATTTATGTTGCTCCCCCTTCATGACCTTCCATATGTTGCCTAGAATTGAGAAAAAAAGTCATCTGAGGCAAAATCAATAATTTATTAGAGTCTAGCATGACTTGATTTTTGTACACTACTGTTTTTATAAAGGATGGATCCCATACAATTTTTAACAGCCTAATTGATTTGTTCCTTTGCATATTAAACCTCAGGTTCCAGAACCCCATTTAAAATTGTATCATTTAGTTTCTGTTGCCTCCTGTCATTTGGTCAACATTATGACATAAAAATGCGTAGTTTTTCTACAGCCTGTTAAAATAGTTAGTTCTAAAATGGGTGTTCAAAACAGTACAATTTCGATTAAATAACCTTATGGAAATTGGGTTTTTCTGCCTGAGTACCTCAGGTAAAGAGTTTGTAACCTTTGTGCCTTCCACTTTCAATCATACTGAACGTGGAAACAATCTACTTTTCTTTGGCTGGCAAGGAAATTGGCATGTCTGAAAACAAATCTGTTTAAAACCAGGGAATTTTACATTGCTTTACATACGTCACATTGACCCAATTGTTCATAGTTGACCATACACCTGAATATGTGAAACCATGTCAAATATTCTCATTACATATGAAATTGAAGAGAAATTCTGTACTCCAACTTCATAGAATCCTTACAGTGTGGAAGCAGGCCATTCAGCCCAAGTTCATACCAACCCTCTGAAGAGCACTCCCTACCCTATCCCTGTAACCCTGCATTCCCATGGCCAATCCACCTAACCTGCGCATCTTTGGACTGTGGGAGAAAACCGGACCTCCCAGTGGAAACCTGTGCAGACACGGGGAGAATGTGCAAACTCCACGCAGATAGTGGACTGAGGCTGGAATTGAACCCAGGTCCCTGGCACTGTGAGGCAGCACTGCTAACCACCATGCTGCCCCCAACCAGGAAACATTATGCTAGTTTTACACATTGCATCCTTTTATAATTCAGCTTTCAGTATTCAGAGATTTTTGATTTTCTAAATTGTTCACTTGTGTTTGTCATTACAATTTTAAAACATTGTAGGTGTCTGTTGACTGGAAAGTGGTCTGGAACTGAGTTCCTAACATTTCTGTTATGGTGCATGCTGGTTTCTCAGTGGGTAAAAAGAAAATTGGATTCTTGAAAAAGGAAAACAAATAACCTGTAGGTTTAGAATGATGTGACCAAAAGATCTCTGAATAAATATACAATTTAGTTCCCAGTTTTGTTTAAGTAGTTTCAACTGCTCTAATGGAGTGTTCGAAGATGATACAAGTGTAAGATGCTTTCTTAATTGATAGTTATGGGTTTCTCTGGATTTTTAAACTTCCTACTTCAATTCTTTTTTAGTAATAGAGAATAGCAAATGCTGATGAAGGAGAAAGGAAAAAAAATGGGATTTTAAGCTTATAGTTAATGTAAGCTAGTTTAAAGAAAGTGCAAGAAATAATTGAATAAGAAAAAAAAATCACAAATTCCAGTTACAAGATATTTTCAACTTCACTCAGTGGTACCATTCTCAACTCTAATAAAAATGCAGGTGCAAGACCTGTTACGGTATGAAAGTGTCTCATGATGGGACCTGTCAAAATGTAAGTTTTCTTTCTGTTGATCTTTTTGAGCCCATATTATTTATCTTGCTGAGTTTGCTCAAGGACACTGGATAAAATGTGAAGTCTGGTTGGTGTAATACAGGTTTGAAGAATCATTGTAGCTATGTTTTTGTTTGGTGCTACTGGAGATTTAATATCCACTGCTGTGCCAGACAAGAGTTTGAAAAATTCCTATGCTGTCAGTCCCAGTTTTCTGCATGGTGTTGAACAAAACAAGATTTTCAAATCAACGATCAACCATTTGTATGTAGGCAATGGAGAGCCTGCCCTTTTGTGTTAAACGATCTGCACGTTTAATAAATCCAATCCATTTTATCAATAATGGAAACCTGCTGGAGATCTTTACTGTCTTGAAGATAGCAACTGTGCTAAAATGGGCAGTGCCTTTAAGAAGTAGGTATTTCACTTGGTATTGAATACTAGTAGTCTCTCCTAGTTACCAATCCCAGCTCCCGTAGTTGGAGACACTAGATAGATTCATCCTCAGATGAATTTCTTTGTAGATTTGCATTCCAAAATAATGCACTGGTAGGGGTCCAGAACGGCTTGAGCAGTTGAGAAATATTGCTGAAATTCCCCAAGTGCAGTTAACTGCACAATAGCTTATTTTTATGTATTGATGAAGAATTGTATTAAACTACTATCTTCCTCCCCCAAAAATGTTCTTAATGAAGAAAAAAGAAAAAGCTGCTTTGAATTGAGATGTTGTTGCCCACAATAACTGAAATGTTTTCATTGATCACATCACGTAATAAAGATAGTGTAGTCCTTATTCGGCAAACGTATGAAATAAATTTAAATACAATTGGGGTGCACGAGTAATTTCTTGCATTTTAAAAAAAATACTTTATTAATAAACTTAATTAGCTGTTAATTTTGGTGTGACTATTCCAAAACATTGTTGAATTTTCTAACTGACGATTTCACACATTTTTATCAAACAAAATACTTGACATGGGAATTGCTCAATTTGTAGCTTGCTTATCCATCTGAATAAAATTTTGCTTTGAAAAAATGTCTGTTAACTTAATGTTTTGAATTGAAATTACACAATTTTGATTTTTGTGCATCCAGTAGAATTCCCTAAATATACTTGGTCAAACTTCCACCAACATTTAAAATGTGTTTTCCCGCTAACTTGACTTTTTAAAAATCAGTCTGATTCTCTGTTGATCTTGTGACTGCTTGATAGGTGTTCTAGAGCTGATTTCAGTCACACATTGATCTTGGTCGGAAAATGATCGAATCTCAGTTTTTCTTAATTATCTAGCAATAAAATGTGTTTTGCAGCAGGTAAGTCTTGTTGCAACAATCACAAAAGCTCTTTAAGTTGCATATGCTGGCGAACCTTGCCGTAACATGTTTGAAAAACAGAATGGAATCGATGCCATTATTGTGCCAAGTTGTAGAAAAAGCCATTGAACAGATTTGAAGTGTAGTGTTTGCTGTGCAAAGAGTTTATTTTTATGAAAGTTCAAACTGAATTTTTCTTTTTTAAGAAAGCATTTTTCACGCCGCACAGTATGCCACTGCAACCAAAGATTTCCACTTCAATTCACATATTTCCCCCATCATATCAAGGTGCCTTGCTCTGAAGAATAGTGCCACTAAATCCATGCTGTTACTTTGTTTCGATGGTGTTTGGATTCATATCTTTTGATGTTTTGGCAGTAGTCCAAAAATAAACAATGCTGGTAATTTCTGATTGCTTTATCTACCATCTTTTTAGTGCCTGTGCACTTGGTGCTTAAAAGCATGAATCAACAAGGTAGGACGTGTTGTTCAGTCTTGAAATTTTGGGTTGATTTTAAACCCATGCAGAGGTAAGGTTTTCATTTCAGACGACCTGTAGGATGAAAATGTTTATAATTACCTTTCCATGTATAACTTTCAACTCGTGCAAGAAATTCATGGAAAAACACTTCCTTGTAAGCAATTGGTCATGAAGACAACATGTGCTGACCATCAGCAGTGTTGTAAATGTAATTATCCAACAAACAATTCTAATTTGGGTTGGATGCACAGTAGTTACATTTCAGCATTGCAGCTATTCCTTGCAAGCTAGTTGCTGTTTTAATGGTCCTTGTTGACTTTATTCCTTTATTGCAAATACCTTGAATTCTGTGCACACTTTTATTTGTTACCAGTTAATTTAGATTGCAGGCTACTTAATGAACACCATGTTCAAGAGACATGTCCTTACAGAATGAGTTGTTAAATCATTGATAGGTCCTTTTTAAAAAAATATCATTTTATCGAGTCTGAAATGAGTGCTGTAATATGCACACAACCTCTTCTTTTTCAGTGGCTTACAACACATCCAATTCATGTGTTACTTCCCTTTCTAGGAATGGTTATAATATCTTAAAATTTACAAAGGTATTTTTCTAAAATGTTGCTATAAATTTATTTGTGATCTTCAAAATGCCTTAGATATCCTATAAGAGTGGATTGGAAAATCTTGTTTACTTGAAACAGTTTGTTGGCCAGTTTACCATTTTTGGTGTTGGCACTGGCCATGTTTTCCCACTGACATGCCTTTTGAGATTCTTATCATTTCTTGTTAAGAGGTTGTATAAGAGTTCAAAGAAATTATCCCACTGCATTGGATTTTGCATGCAACTATGAAATGTTGCATTCGATCTTGTTTAAACTGTCTTTCTGCAGACCAGTTTTGAACTTCTAACTTTGAAGATGGATCGAGATGCATGGTCCTTTTTGAGGCCTTGAGATCCCTGACCTAACATTTTTGTTTTAACTTTTCAGCCTGGCAAAGTTCTCTGAGGAATCTGTGCCATTACTCGCATCAGCCATCTATTAGACGAAGTTAGATAGTGAAACCGCTTTCTACAGAGCCAACAAAGGCTATCTACTAACCACTGAAGACTTACTTTATCCTGCTCTTGCCAGTTTTGAACTAGACTCTCTCTTGTGCCAGAATGTCATTGGGTAGAGCCCAACAGGATCATGGTCGTGGCATGAAGAAAGATGGTCATAATATTGGATTCTTTCCTGCAGCGCAGTCTGCAAATGTCCATGTGAATCTTGGGAGAATGAACCAGGGTGCACGAATGGGTGGCTATATGAATTTTGGACAGGGTCAGGCAGTGAACATGCAAGGTGTGGGACAAGGACATCAAAGTATGTCTTCAGGTGGAGGGCCCTCTCGCTTCAGCAGTGCTTTGCCTTCCTTGTTTGATGTAGGCAGTCGCAATCAAACATCAGTTGCCGTTCAAAAACAGATTGATGCAGACAGGGCCAGTAATATTTTAGCTACCTTTGGCCTTTCATCCAGGGACTTGGATGAACTGAGCCGCTATCCTGAAGACAAACTTACTCCTGAATCCTTGCCAGACATTCTTATGCAACTTAAAAGAAAAAGAAATGATGAAGGAACATCTTTGAATTACGGCAGAGGTGACAGTTCTCCTCGGGATGATCGTTCTTTCAGAACCTCCCGCAATGAATGGGAGGAAGAGAGGCGCTTTCGAAGTAATTTTGAAGGTCGTGATCCTGACGCTGATCCAGTGGTCAATTATGACCATGGTTCTTCTCGAGAGTCGAGTTCTAGATATTATGACAGGAAGGACTATGATACTGAACGATTGAGAGGTGATGACTTCCGTAGAGATGATATGCGTATGTCTGAGTCAATATATGATTCCGATTATGGAAAAATGGGGCCCTCTCCTTCCCGTGGGCAAGAAAGGCCTCTTTTTGAGAGAAAGCGAGGATCTCCTTCACTGAGCAACATAAACGATTACCATGGTTTCTTGCCAACAATGTTCCCTCATTTGTGTTCGCTGTGTGATGTAACTGTTCATTCTGTGAAGGTGAGTGACCTCTAATTTAAAAATTTCTTTTTAAAGTATAATTCTGACAAACACCAGCTCTTGTTGGACTTGTGGAAGCATCATTTGAGTCTTAATTTGTTCCAGATACTCATTGGAACGTCTTAGCAACATGAAATACTGCACAGGATCTCTTTGTTATTGTCAGTTTAATGACAAGTAACACCCGTTTAAAAGCAAGTTGTCATTTATAGTATGCATCTCAAATTCATGCACAGAGTGCTGGTGGAAACTTATTATAGTTTGGACTTGGTGAAATCAAAGGAGTGTGCAGTACTTGTAACCCATTGGCATTACTTGTCAATTAAAAGAAGAGGGGAAGTGACTTTTCACCATCAGAAATTATGTGCCCGCCTTGGCAATTAGAGCATATGTTATGAAGTTACCGGGCCTTGGGTCTCGATTGTTTTTCTATGTTAATATTTTGGTGCAACTTGGTGCATGCAAAATGCCTTTCTCCAAAGGACAGTGTTCAAGAGAGGATGGTGTGTAATGCACACCTGAATGCAAGACTGGTTTCCTTTCACCATTCAACACTTCGGCTTATGTTTTCCTGTTTACCTTGTGACAATGTCCTCTCTTTCCCCTCATAAACAAAAGTTGGAACTTTCTGAAATGTTAGCAGTGAAGCTATATTTGTATAAATGAAAGTTAAGTTGACGCTGTGTGCGGTCCAGCATCCAGTTTAGCTATATTAAGATCTATTTGCAACATCTGTTTGGGATTCTTTCTTAACCAGGTGGTTGGAGTCCACTTTGGCTCTGATGCTTTTAGGTGATTTAAAACAAAACCTACAGTGAGGATTAATGTAGAAGGAAATGTTTATTGACATAAGTGGTACAGTACTGTGCACACATTTGATTTTGTTTTTTGCAAAGTGTTGGCTGAAAATTTTAATTGTGATTTAAATTTCTTTGAAAGGGTTTGGAATTCTATTAATCAGGAAGGTTTACTATTTATTTTGCAGATTATTAATTATATAAGTTTTTATAAGAAAACAATTCCATATTTTAAATGTTGTTTATGGAAAATATTTGGAAACTGCTGCCTCAGAGTAACATTAGAAATACTCGCTTCATCCAGGTAAATGCATATAATCATGTTAATTCAAGCCAGAGTTCATTATGGTCTTTATATGCACCAAGGTATGGCTCAATTACTCTTGTGATAATTTGGGGTTTTCCCCTCTGAAAACATGGCACATCTCATTAAGTGACTTTCCTTACTTGTGACAGTTGTATACCAATGCCAATATTGTTGCTTTTCAATTTGGTATCTGTTGGCTGGTCCTTTGGTGAGGTTTCTGTCTGAGTGAAAAATTTGGTGTATAATTTTTTTGTAATTTCTCAGTGCAGAGTCAAATATCTTGCAGTTCTTCCTTTCCAAATTGCCCTGTGTTACAGTCATGTGTTTCCTATTCTTACTGGTCTAAATTGGTGCCTTGCATAAGTTCAAAGCACTTGGCTTTATTTCAAAAAACTACGTTTTGGATTTGATCATTTATACCAAATCTGGGAACATGCAGTTGATATTACATAGATTTGCCTTCTTTCACTTTCTCACTAGGAGCTGAAGCAAATCTTTAAACAGTATGATAGTGCAGTAATTCATTCTGTATGTAAAGGTGAGACTAAAGCATTAACCATAATGATTCATCTTTTTAATCAAACTCGTAACAAATAACCAGATTGCCAATATCAAGAAAGAGCTTGAAGTTGCCTTTGGTGTTGCCTAATTGAAATGTAGATAACGCCAGTATTGTACTCAAAAGGCTCTGGAACCAAACCATTACTTGAGCAGAAAGCTGACAAATTTTTTGTTCTGAATTAGACAGGAATAAAATCAATAAAATCTGTTAGAATGGAACTTTTTTCATGTTTTCCCATAAAAACTCGAGTCCCAAATAACTTGATTCAGATGTAGACACCTGCAATTAATGCAAGCAAAGTTTAGTACCACCAATAGGTGCTCGCCACTTTTCTTGTCTGCATTGAAGATATTACCTTAGGTTGCGTGAATTTGTTTTCTCTCTCCCTATTGCTGTTTTGCTGCCGCTGCCGCTGCTGCTGCCACTGCCCCTTCCCCTGACTCTTCGTCTGCCACACTTCTCTTGTGTACACCTTTCTCTGTGCCTTCCTCCCTTCTCCCTCTCAACCTACATCTTCACCGATTTATGAAATTTGGGAATATGTCTTCTCAAATAGCGAGAAGCCTATATTTTTATGTTACTGCCCTCACTGTCTATTGTTTATTTGACTCCCCTTTATCCTTCTGCTTTAGCTGTAGCTTAGCTTGCTTTTGTTGAACTTTTGTTACACGCATCTTCTGTGGTAGCAGATTAGTTTTGTAACGTGGACTTAAATTTGGTAAAACTTGTTTAATTTTTGGTTAACTTGTCATTCAGCATAAACACCTGGAAAATATGAAAGATGGAAGGTAATGAATTGAAAGTCTAGAGAGATAAATAACACAAGTAGATAAACATTTAAGGGTAAAATTACCAAAGTGAAGAACGGTCATAACTGATTAACATGCATGAGGAGAAGAACAGCAAAAGACAGGAATATTCCTGTAAATTGTGATTACGATTTTGTTTCAAGAAAAAACTATCAGTTCATGATGATTTATAGAACTGGCTGTAAAAACTTTGAATCTAGTGGCTAAAGGTAGTCTTACCATTTTCCAATCTGATAGTTTTTAAAAGAAGTGCTTGCATGTTGAGGTGTAAACCTGTTGGACAATTTAAGCAGAATCTGTGTTGTTCTTCAAAATCAGGTTCTTTCTGTCCCGTCTGAATAAATAGAGATTCTTCCCACTTCTTTACCAAGCTAGAAATGGTCCTATTTTATGTATTGCTCAGGCCTTGGAGAAGTTAAGTTTTTCACTCTAATTTTTTTTCCGTTGTGTGTTGACTTCCAGTTCTCTATCCTCATCATTTTCCTGCTTATCAGTGTGGTCTTCACAAACCAAATCACTTGTCACTTACTGACATACTACAATTTCAAAATAACAGACAAGTGACTTAGTAGTTCAAACTAAGGAAGACATTCCACTTCCTTAAATCTCAGCCCTTTCAGTGCAAGGTTGTGGATGTGCATTAGAATACTTCAGAGAATACACTGAAATTCAAAGGTCAAGTATCACATTTCCACAAACCTTATTTTCAACTGAGTTGATCTTAATATTAAGCAAATATCTTTTCAAGAATATTGAGCACAATCATCCTTCTTGTTCTCTTAAGGATCCCTAGTATGGTAGAGCTTTGTCTTTATTCTTTCAGGGGGTTTGGGAGTTACTGACTAGCCCAGTATTTATTTCCCGTTCCTAATTGCACTTGAATGGTTTCGAATCCCTGGTATGGTTAAGGAGGTGAGCACTCTCATTCTCTCCCCTCCGTTTTGGGACTCACTGTACCCATGGAATATATAAAAGGTAGAAAACTTGGAATTAGTATATTTTTCCCAATCTGCACAGTAGTTCTTTTCTTTTTTAACATGAATTGAACATTGTACTATCCCATTCCCTTCCCCGAAGAAAGTGGTTCTGAGCACTTTTGTATATGCTTGAAGTATCGTCAGTCATTATATGGGAAAACAGTGGAAGAGTTTGCGTTTGGGTGGTCTACAAACATGGAAGTCCCTTAATGAGATGCTGTGAATGGCAAAATAAATCTGTCATGTGTGATGTTACATCGATAAACACTCATGAAGGGAAAGCTTAATTTGAAGAATGAATTTGACTATATTTGGGTGAGTAATAACTTTGCACGAGCTAACTTACAAACTTTATAAAATTGCACAATTTTATACTTAATTTGTTTTTAAAAAAGCAAATCTACTTGTCTCAGAAAAGGAATGCTTAGGATAGTGATTATTTCTTTTGTTACTATTTCACCAATTACAGAAAAATCTTGTTATTCACATAATATATACTGTGTATGTAATTTTCCTTTAGTACAGGGATTAAAATGTGACCAGGTTTTACTTGAGGGGCAAATAAACTTTACATCAAAAGTAACTAGGATGTTAAAATTTTGTTTGAAAAATGGATTGAGCACGGAAGCAGGATTAGAAAGCATTTCAAATACAAATAGAACAAAAAGGATCATTCATTGAAACGTACATCGATTGGTTTCAGTTTTCAAAAAAAGGAAACAGCCTTTAGTTGCTTTTCCCCAGTTAGTTGCGTTCATTTTCCCAACCCTAGAAGTTGACTTCTGAATAGCAGCTTCAGTGGTATCAAAAGGAGTACGTTGTATAGCAGCTTCCACAAAGCACACAATGATAAGTTCGTTCATGTTGAACAGTGCATTAGGGGAAAGTTATATAGATCATAGAATAGAATCCCGACAGTGTGGAAACAGGCCATTCGGCCCAACAAGTCCACACCGCCCCTCTGAAGATCATCCCACCCAGACCCATTCCCCATACCCCTGCCTTTCCCTTGTCTACTCCACCTAATCTAAACATCCCTGGGCACTGGGCAATTTAGCATAGCCAATCCACCTACCCTGCCCATCTTTGGACTGTGGGAGGAAACCGGAGCACCCAGAGGAAACCCATGCGGACATGGGGAGAATGTGCAAACTCCACACGGACAGTCGCCCGAGGCTGGAATCCACACAGACAGTCGCCCGAGGCTGGAATCGAACCCGGGTCCCTGGCACTGTGAGGCAGCAGTGCTAACCACTGAGCCACTGTGCCGCCCATAGAACATTACAGCGCAGTACAGGCCCTTCGGCCCTCGATGTTGCGCCGACCTGTGAAACCAATCTGAAGCCTATCTAACCTAAACTATTCCATTATCATCCATACGTTTATCCAGTGACCTTTTAAATGCCCTTAAAGTTGGCGAGTCTACTACTTTTGCAGGCAGGGCATTCCACGCCCTTACTACGCTCTGAGTAAAGAACCTACCTCTGACATCTGTCCTATATCTATCACCCCTCAATTTAAAGCTATGCTCCTTCGTGCTAGCTATCACGATTTATGCAAAATGATACAAATGAGTTGGTAGTCACCAAACGTTAAATAATTTGCTCAGACGTGTTAGGAGTTTGTTGTCCCCTTCAAGTGCTTGCTCCTTTCCTTCTTGCTACCTACTTGTATTTGCTTGGAAGGATAGTACTGTTTCTTTTCCCCCTCTATCTGGAACAAAAAGATCATCTTGTCCAGCTTGCATGTTGATCTTACTTCACTCAACATTTCATTCAACATTAATTCATTTCACTCAACAATTCAGGTCTTGTACTTGTTTAAGTTGTATGGCTGTTCTGTGCAAGATTATTCAATTTTGATATCCGTATCCAGCAAGATCTAAACTGTGATTATAGAAATAATCTTCCAATAAGTTCTAGAATTAATTGTCACATAGTGTGGTACTGAGCCGAATAGATCAGGGAAGTATAGGTTGTTTCATCTGCTATGCTAATCATAGATGGGGCTGCAGTAAAACTGACTGGGTTGGAATGTAGAAAAGATCAAGCAGGCTATTAACGTTTCATGAATGAGACCAGGAACTGTGGAAGAGCAAAGGGTGTCTTGGAGAACAGACAAATAAAAGCAACCATATAGGTGCAACAGGTAATTAAAGGGTTTAATAGAACTGCGATCTTTTTTTCGGAAGGAATTGAACTTTATGCTCTGAACAAGGAAGCACAGCCTACAGGTAGCTAAGCATTCAAATTATGTGCATACACAGCATATATTATTAAATAACAGGATATGGCTTAATTCTGTGATTTTAAAACGGCATTTGTTAACAAAGATTTCCTCCAGCATTTTTGTTGGGCAGCTGTTTTGTATTTGTGTATGTTACTGTTGAATCAATTTTTTTTTGCTTGTATTGGTTCTGGAAGATTAGTAAATTGTTAATATATTAACCATATATAGTCACAGTTTAAATTTCACTTTTGTGCTAAAACTACTGTGATTTTGTTTTCCTATTCAGGATTGGAACCAACATAAGAACGAACCAGCACATAAAAGGCGTTGCTTGCTGCTTTTGGAAATGTATGCAGTTCTTCTTTAGTATGAAAAGACTAACTTCCACTGTTTTTTAAACTAGATCCCATTGCTTTTATAGGGTACATGAGTTACACGTGCATTATTGGTCATATAAGATTATTTTACGTTTTGATTTTGTTTGGGAAGTCTCGTCTCAGTTTATTTTAATAACAGATTACACAAACGTAGTGGAAGTGCTGCTATGTGGTGCATTGATTGGATAGATTGATAGAGAATTTGAGTTGTTGGTAGTGGATAACTGAAGAGGACTTGAAAACGTTTGTGATGTTATTTTCAACATATTACACAGGTGTCAAGAGAAAGAATAATTGCCATATTATTTTGAAAGAGGAGAGCCTATTCCTGCCTTTTTAACTGTGTCTCTCTTGTTGACTGCCTTGGCTAGACTTTTATTGGTGTTGTTTGGAAACAGTTTAATTCTGAGTTGTATACATTCAATTCAGTTTATCATTGAGCGCTCTCAGTATGAAATAATTTTGCCAGGAAGCCAAGTCTTTTTAATTTACCACCTGAAATCAACCTCTTAAGGAACATAGCAGGACTAGACCATTCAGCTCCTCGTGTCTGCTCTGCCATTCTACGTCATGGCTGATTGTCTTCTTTAATGCCATATTTCTGTGCTATTCCCCATATCCCTTGATGTCATCAGTAACTAAAATCTCTGTCTTGAATATGCTTAATGACGGAGCTTCAGTGACCTTTGGGTTAGAGAATTCCATAGATTCACCACCAGCTGAGTGAAGACGTTACTCCTGATCTCACTCCTAAATGATTTGCCATTTATTCTGAGTCTGTGATCCCTGGTTCTTGATCCCACAGTGAGGGCGTTCATCTTTCTGTACCCACTTTGTCTATCGCTTTAAGAATTCTAAATTCAGAGGCTACAGTCCCAGTATAGTCAATATCTTCTTATAGGCCAGTCCCACCAACCTAGGAATCAGTCTGGTGGACTTCTATTCTACTCCATCTCCAGCAAGTAGATCCTTCCTTAAGCAAGGGCACCAGTATTCCACACAAGACTCTCAAGTGCAGTCTCACCAGTGTTCTACATAACTGAAGCTCCGTTTGCCCAAATCCTCTGACAGTAAAGGCTAACATGACATTTGATTTCCAAATTGCTTGCTGCACTTGAGTGCTAGCACCCAGTGACTACTGAGCAGGAGCACTTAGGTCCCTTTGGGCATTTGCAATTTTTAATCTCTCACCTGTTAAGAAATGCTCTGCTCAGTTGTTCTTCTGTCATAATGGATAACCTCATGTTTATACACACAATAGTCTGCCATGGTCTTGTCCATTCTGTCTGTCTGATTCTCTTGAAACCTCTTTGCTGTGTCCTCACATTTTACATGCCTGTCAATTCATACCATTTGCGAATGTGTCAATATTATAATTGGCTCCCACATCCAAATCATTGATGTAGATAGGGAGCAGTTATTTCTGGCCATGGCCTGCTGTGGTGTTTTATAAAAGTCACAATGTGAAAGCGGTTGCTTCCTTGACATTTTCTCATCCATAAGTGTAATTTTATAATTTTTTATTCACTCATGGAATGTGGGCTGTTCTGGCTGGTCAAGCATTTATTGCCTATCTCTCCTTGCCCTTGAGAAAATGGTGGTGAGCTGCATCCTTGAACTGCCGTAATCCCATTAAGGAAGGATTTTGAGCTAGTGAAACTGAAGGAATGGCAATAGATTTCCAAGTCAGGATGGTATTTGACTTGGAGGGGAACTTGCAGCTTGTGGTCTTCCTATGTATCTGCTGCAATTATTCTTCTAGGTGGTAGTGATCATGGGTTTGGAATGTGCTGTCTATAAAACTTTGAATTTCTGCAGTGCATCCTGTAGAAGGTGCACACTTCTGCTGTTGAATGTCAGTGGTGGAGTAAGTCAGCGTTTATAGCTCTGGTGCCACTCAAACGTGTTGTTTATTTTGGCTGGTGTCAAGTTTCTTGAATGCTGGAGCTGCACTCATCCAGGCATCTCCTGACTTGCACCTTGTAGATGACGGGCAGGCTTTGGGGAGTCAGAAGGTGAGTTATTGACTGCAAGATTTCTAGCCTACCTTTATAGCCACATACACTTATGCCTAGCTGACTTATGTGACTAATCCAGGTCAATGTAATCCCCCAAGATGTTGGTAGTGGAAGTTCTAGTGACGGTTTTACAATTAAATGTCAAGGTGTGATTTGATGTGGGCTGTTGGTAATGTTTCCAGATTTTGCTCCAAGTACAACAACTTAACAGTTAAGTAACATTCAGTTTCAAATTCATAACGTATGTACAGTGCTATAATGCAGATCAATATGTCGGAAATTTGCTTATGGCATGAGAATCTGCTGGCTACCAAAAAGTCCCTGCCCTGGTCTGGATCAGTGAACGTATATCTGTTTTAATTTGATGAGTTGGGTGATAAAGCAGAAGCAGTTTTAAAATTGGTGTAAAGCATATAGTGCTCTGTTTTTATTCTAATCCATCGGGCTGCAGTTCTGACTGGCAATTCTAGTTGTAATACAAGTCGCACTACTTGTATAAGCACTATACAGTGACTTCCTATTATGCCGTGTGATGAGTACCTGTAGTTGGAAATATCAGACTTCATTAATGATTTCAAAAACAGAAATTGCTGGAAAAGCTCAGCAGGTCTGGCAGCATCTGTGGAGGGAAATCAGAGTTAACATTTTGGGTCCAGTGACCCTTTTTCAGAACTCATAAAAGATTTTTCCTACTCTCTGCCAAAGTTTTTCGAAAACCTGCAGAACCCATCAACACTTTATGTATGAAGGAAATCAGCTCCCTTCTTTCTCCCTGATCATCTATATCTTCTCTGTAGTGTATAGAAGGCACAAATCTGTTTTATACGCAAAATTTTGCAACGCCTTTGCTTTAAAGACTCACCCAATCTCAGGATCCAGACACTGCTAACAGCTGATCGCAGAAAGCACTTCACATTTCTTCTACTGACTTGCATTGACTGTAGCACTCTCTGTTATATGAGCGTTGCAATGAATAACTGGAAGAAAACGTCTGCCATATGCTATGATCAGCAAGTGATTTTGATTATTCAGCTATAATGTAGTCTTGCTTCTTGGAATCCGATCTCCGTGTTGTATCGCTTTCACTGTATTTCATTCAGTGATATGGTGGTTGGAATGGAGTAGCAGAGGGGAAGAAATGAGAAGTGATTGGTAATGTATGATTAACAAATTCTTGTTTTCATTTCTAGCTACCCACAATGGGTTCCAGAAGATGTACCATCCACAAGGTAATTCAGACTGCTTTCTGTGATTATCAATCTGAGTGATGTCTGAGGAGCTCATTCCATGAAGTACTACTAGAATGTAAAAGTGTCTATTGTTTTTTCTGTATCACAAAAGCATGTATCATTCAAAAGTAGCAAAATACAGCAGCAAAATTTAGAAGCTCTTCTCCAACATCTAGCTGGTTACCTATATGGAATGTACTGCACAGAAACAGCTAATTTGGCTTAACCAGTCCATGTCAGAATATTCATACTCCACTTGAGCCTCCTCAAATATTCCGATTCTGCTGCGCAGGTTGTTGGAGGGTCTTCACGTGCCAATAGCATGCTTCCAGTTCTGGAAGTTGCTGTCGTGTGTGGACCTTGGAGATCCGCACAGTGGCAGGAAAACCTGGCGGGGATGTAGGCCTCCTCCTGTCTGTGCTGATTTAAATATTTCAGTGTGACACACTCTTGTATTCTCCCGCAAACTTGGTTAGCCTCTCCTGAACTCCATCAACACTATTTGTTTCAACCATTCCACAGTAGTGAGTTATACTTTCTCTTCACTTTTTGGATGAAGATGTTTCTTCTGAATTCACTGTTGGACCTTTTGAATGGCTATCTGCTACTAATGGTCTCTAACTATGCTCTTCCCCACAGGTAGTAATTTCCTATCTCCTCATTTTTAAAGTTCTGTATTATTAAGTTGCTCTTTGGTATAGAGCTTATATATTAGTTTTAAGAATCAAAAGAGCGCAAAGTTTAATTATGTGCAAAATTAAAATCTGCTTCTGCCATACGACTGCATCTCTGATCTTGTTGCTTTGGGCATTGTTATGCATTCATTCTTTTAAGTTTAATTTGTATTACTTTCCCATTAATTTTCTTAAAGTGTTGGTTGCATCTATTGATAGTTAATTTGCACCTACTTACATTTTAATGCTGATCTTCCTATGGTTTAAATATAGGAGCAATCCATCTGCACAGCAGACCAATATTGCACCGGATGCTGCTTCTGCACTCCTTGCAGCTATCAGACAGCTGGATGCAATGGACCCTCATGGAGGTTAGGATAAAATGATTTTGTTGCTGATTATTATTAATAAATAATTTTTGTTTCTAGTTATCCTCTTGCTTACAGTTATATCACAGTTTTACACACAAACGTATAGATATCTGTCAGTAATAGGGAATAGTCTGCCATCATGTCCATAAAAATTGGTCTGGTGGTGACTGCTGTCACAAATAAGTTTGAATACCTACCTAGGCATTTTCTCCTTTTTCACAAAATGGTAAAAAAAATTCATACATCATGAACTTGGATGAAATTGTTAGGTTTACTGTGAAACGTTTTTTTTCTAGTCTCATATTAAATGTGAACTTATAAATGAAGATTCAATCGGCCAGAACAATATTCAGTAGAAATTAGTCTTCAAATTGGGTGACATCTTTACTAGATTTCCACTTTGAGCAGCCATGTGATTTGTGCAGGAATCAAGAGTTACTGATAGTTGATGTTATGCCAACTTTGGGTAACATTGGATTTATAGCTTTTATTATGGACAGTAAATAATTGATATACTCGCATTTTCCACGCTGTTCATTTTGTAGGTCATATAATTTTATCAGCCTTACTTTGTTCTTCTAAATGCTGGAAGTTGAGTCACCTTGCGAGAGATTGTTATTCAACCAATTCAGGCATGTTATAGAACAGGTGGGACTTGAACAGGGCCTTAGAAACATATGCGAGTCATGCCTAAATGTTATTGGAATGATCCTGCTGAACCATTGAACCTGGCTAGTATGAGTGTTATTGATTTCCTGATTGTAGGTCGTGTTAGTGCGTAAAGTTTTGCCCTTTTAAAAGAAAAGTTGAAGAAGCCTCTTCGATTTATCATTTTTTTAATGGGTGTGTACAGTATAATTATAAGTGAATTGATTTCACATTTTAAATTTGGGACTCAAATTTGTGCTGTACCAGAATTTGATCATCACCAATTTCCCGCCAAACAGGAAATCATGACTTTTTGAGGACTTAATTTAATAAGTTGTTGGCGATGGAGGCTGCTTGAAGCAGTCATTCCCCCTATATTATTATACCATTGTTAACCATAAATGCAGCCTTGTTTGTTACTCGTTTAATAGCTGAATTGTTATATTTGCAACTGTCATTGGCAGAGGTAATGTTTTGCCCCGTCGGTCTGTAAACTGTGTGTTTCAAATATTAATACACAATTTCAATGAACCTTGGTTCATGGGGTATGGCCCAAGGAAGAACTGATGAGTTTTTGATGAAGGTCTGCATTTTTGTTTTTGAAGAAGTCTTTTAATATTTGAACATGAGGCACATTAACCTTTTTAGAATGTTGTGGATTGTCCAAGTTATTGTGGTTGAATTAGTCACAGCTGTCAAAATATAACCAGAGATTTTCAGAGCAGCTTGTTGAATGTGGATTAGCTTGAAGGCTCCTCATCGAGAAGAACATTCTTAATAAAAAGATTTTTCAACTCAATTTAAAGAACATGAACCAGGTCAGGGGAAAAGCCTCAAGAAAGAGCTGTCTGATTGTCATGAATAACAATAAAATTACTTTAAAAATCCTGCAGTTCAGAGAAACTGAATGTTTCAGGTTGATGATTTTCATTTAGAAAGGATTAATGAAGTGAGATTAAATAACAAAAGATCTAATAATGCAGCAACCAAAGAGAATGGAGATAGTAAAGAATAAAATATGTCTGAAATGAGGTATGAACTGCTGCATTTTGGAAAATAAAGTAAATACAACCTGAATAGATAAAGAAAGAAACCACCAGCAATAAAACATGGAAGAAAAATACTAGAGCAAGATGGAGGCAGAGGTTATGATCAAAAGTTATTGAATTCAGTGTTGAGTCCAGAAGGCTGTAGAGTGCCACTTTAAAGATAGAGTCCTTTTCCTCAAGCTTCAATGAATACAGTATATGAAATTGAAAGAAGTATAAGTAAATTATTTTTTCTTTTGGAAAGAACATTTGGGCCTTGAACTGTGGGAAAGGAGAGGCAAAAGGACAGGTGTTGCTTAAAGCTGTGTTAACATAGCATGAAGTGGCAATGCCAGTGTTGGACTAGGGTGGACAAAGTCAGAAGTCACACGACACCAGGTTATAGTCCAACAGGTTTATTTAAAATCACAGGCTTTCATAACGCTGCTCAGTTCACCTGATGGAGAAATGCTCCAAAAGCTTGTGGTTTTAAATAAACCTGTTGGACTATAACCTGGTATCGTGTGACTTGTGATTTTAACATAGCGTAGTGGAGGCTTGCCCTCAGCTAGCGCTGTCTTCGCTTGTTGAGAATTGAATACCTGGTTTTAATATCTGAACTGCATTATACAGCGTTGTTTGAAATTGGGAGGTGCAAGTAGTCCCACCAAAAAATAAAAGTTAATTATTATTACTATGTAAATAGAAGTAATTGCGTATTATTCCGAACTCATGATATGTTTTGGTTTGTTTTTCAGGAAACCGCAAAGGTGAAATGCAGAACAAACGAAACTTGGTCAGTTTTTACTTTATTACAGTATGAATAATATCAGAGATATAAAAAAATTCCATCAGTTCTAGGTGATTTAGGTTATTTTAGTCAGGTTGGGAGAAATTGTTCCTTTAGTTTTGGATCAGCTGATGCATTCAGTGAAATTTAAATCAGAATTGAAAAGGTTATGAAACCCATTCTTAATATTAAATGTGGAAGTAATAAGAGGAAGAATCATGACTTCAAATATATTGTGTTGCATTGATCTTAGATGAGTGATATTAACAGTTTTGTCATTCTTTTTGATAAGGTTGAAATCTCTTGGATCAGTACAGTCTTTTATGACATCTCCTGCCATATTCTAGCTAGAACCCAAGGAAATTAACTGCATACCTTATGGTTACATTGTACAGCAAACATTTTATTAACCAGGACTGTGCTAGTTGATTAAATATTCTGGTTGATCAAGAGGTCCATGTAATCAACGTAAAAACACACACTAAGCAATAGAAACATAATGCGGGGTATACACATCACCGTTATACTTTATTTACAGCATAAAGCACTTAATAATACAACTTTGCCTTAAATAAAACTTGCTGGCAGACAGCCTTCTTGTTTGTACCAATAACTGATTACTTAACCATTGAGAAGATCACAATAATACAGTAAACTTATGGTATTTCGATATATAATTTTTGCAGGTTTATTGAGAGTGCCAGTTTATAAGGTGTTAGTTAAAATAGTTTGCTGTAATTCCATTTGTCCAGCAGGTTTATGGCAGTGTTAATGCTACAACGACCTCCCCCCATCCACTCAATTTCAGTTAACTCCATTTAAACCACCTTCTGTTACTATCTACCTTATGTATTTATCAATCTTCTCCTTAAGTGCATCTTATCTATGCAATGTGCCTCAGCTGCTCCTTTGGTAGTGAGTTTCAGTCTCTAGAGAGGAAAAAAATCTCCTAAATGCTCCACTGGAATTACCAGCAACTCTTTCATATTTATAGCCTCTAGTCTGGCCTCCCTGGAAGTGGGAAAGTCCCAGTGTCTGTCTAATTGATCCGTTCCATAATCTTAAATATCATAATCCCATGATCTCTACCCAGTCTGCCTCAGTCTGTTTTATAGAGAAAAGAATCCCAGTAATATTCAGTTGTTTTGAATAAATAAACCCTTTCGGTTAAGATATCATTGTAATAAATCTCTTTTGAACTTCTTCAAATCTAGCCTGTCCTTTTTTTAATAATTTGGAGACCCAGATTGTATCTTACAAAGTGCATTCAATGCTGGGTTCTGTGCAAATTTAATATGACTTCCCTGGTTTTCAATTCTACCTCATGGGTAATTGCAGTGGTGTTTTTTTTTTAATGGCCTAGTTCATCTTTTATATTGGCAAAAGGAATAGGTATAGCCAGCTAACTAAGGTGCAGATTTGTAAGTTGGTGAAACCAAGGAAAATATTTAAATTTTTTTATTTGGTAACATTTTATATAAACCCATCCAACAGTGATCTACTGTTATTATTTTGTTCATGATCCATCTGAAAAGTCAAAGTTCAACAAGTTAATGGTAAATGTACCAATTGAGGTAGTTCACATTCTTAAGTCTTAAAACTCTTGAGTTCCAGGTTGCATGGAGAAAGTGAATAATGGCTGCATTGAGGAAATTAGGTTGAACTTCCATCATGTGGCAAGTTTTATTTTGAGAAATGTAAAAATACCAGTGCAGAAGTACCCTGGTCTCTAATATTGAATTTACTCACCTATCTTGTGGGTGAAAGCCAGATTTCTCCCAGTTGAACTTCGTGATATTAGCAATTATTACCAAGTGCCAATATTTAAAATAAAAGTTGTCATGAAATGCAGTTTTAACATTCATCATTCTTTCTACTGCCAAATGAAGTTAAAGCATTTTTTCCTTGTTGTGTGATCTGAAGAATTGAGGGAAGGGGAAGTATAGTTTTGAATATTACTTTCCAGCAGAATACTCTGTACTTCGAGTAAACAATTATGTTGTTCCTTTGCAAAGCAAATGGATGAACCTGGTCGAGTGCTTCACATAACAGAATTACCAAAAGGAAAATGCAAAGTGAAAGATATCCTGCAACTTGCGCAACCTTTTGGAATCATTACGAAATACTTGCTTTTAAATACTAAGAGCGAGGTGAGTAAAATAAGTTTGTCTTCTGTAAAGAGAAATTAGCAGCCATGTTCAGTCTAATGATGCTTATAACTGAGGAATTGGTGACAACTTTGCCTCTCAAAGGTGTATTGAAGCTGAACTTTTAATTTGCATATCAGATTGATTTGCTCATTGTCAATAAAATTGCGATGTTCACGAAACAAAAATTATTGTCTTTTGTGGATTTCATTAATTTCTGGTCGCACTTGTAGAACATGACTGTTCTGATAGTACATTTATTTTTATCGTAAGCATTACTTTGAATTTTGTCTTTAAAATCAAAATTTAGGGATTTGTGGAAATGGCTACAAATGGGCAAGCACAAACAGCAGTTGCGTTTTACAGTATGAAGCCAGCAATCCTTTATGGCAAAAGGGTTCGAGTGGGCATGTCTCACAAATACAAGGAAATAGATTTGAAGGTAATAAAACTCAATCATTGGTCTGTGAATATTTCAGAAGTGTTTTGGCCACTGCATTTTTTTCTCGCTATTATATCGATACAGTAAAATTGTATGCTTAGTTCTATCCTTAATGTTGCCTGTGTACTGATGCTGATTCTTCCCACTGTCATCTGAACAATGATTAAGTTAAAAATGAAAAAAAAACCTTGCATGCGCCGCAAAATACACTGAAATTGAAGCCTTTATAAATTCTTTCAATTGTCTGTTAAATTACATTTGAAATTCGAGACCTCCCTACTTTGTTTGACTTTGTTACATTGTTGCACTCTTATCTGGGCTTGCCTAGAAAATTAAAAGCTCTGTCCAGCTATATGCAACAAAGGCAAAGGAAATCCAGCTCTTGACATGTTAGTGCACACGCATCAGATTGGATACTTCAGCTTTGATCTGTCATCAGGAGAGTGAGATTGTAAGCAAGATGAAGGATTCTTAGTTCATGCGCTTGTCCAATAAGGTGAACCACAGCAGGGGCTGCAGGCAATATGAGCAAACTGATCACACCAATGTTACCATTCAATATGGGTGACAAAAAAGTAATGTATTTACAGTAGGTGGCACTATAGTTGAGGTGTGGGTTCGTTCACTGCAGGCTAAAGTGAGATTCCCAAATGCTGTGCATGCTCAGTGCAATGGTTAAGGGCATTTATTGGAACCAGTGAGTGATTTAAAGTGGGAGGGGAAGTATCAGTTGTGGTCCACATCAATACCAATGAGTTGCAAAGCTGAGACTAAGAAAGAGGTTCTTTTGCAGGATTATGAGCAACTGAGACTGAAATATAAAGCAAAACTATTAAGCTAATTTTAAGCTAATTATGACCTGAGCCATGAGCAAATTGGGATCGGGTGTAGAGAGTTGAATACATGGCTGTAGGATAGATGAGGGAGAAATAGATTTCAATTCATGTGGCACTGACACTCTTGAAAGTGGGAGCAATATTGTTGGGATGGCCTTCACTTGCACTATGCTGGCACATGGTATAATTTAGGCTGTTGAGAGGGCTTTAAATTAAGTAGTTGGGGGTGAGTTTGTGTGAATGGAGATTTGGAAAGTTAAAGCATACCAACAATGCATTAATGCATGACAGTACGAGTCTGATGGGAAGGAATAGAGCATACAATCATAAGGGGGTGCCCTGAGGTGTGGAAAATATGGTAGATTGGATGAGCCACATTGGCAAAGGTAGCCTGGAAGGACATTAGTCTTTGGAATTCTCCTCTCCAGTGAGCAGTGAGGGGTTGTTGACTATTTTTAAGGCTGAGACAGGACAGACATTTGCTTGACAGTGGCAGAAATGTGGAGTTGGGGGTACAAGCTTGACAAGCCAAATGGCTTACTTCTCCCACTTACAGTCTTCTGACCTGACCTATTGATTGCTTCAACTGAGAAATTCGGTCTATGTAATTAGAGTGCAAATGTTTGGCATTTGGGGATATCTTATGGTTAAGAACTTCCATAAAATATTTCTGAGGCACTGATAGTTTAGAGAGTACTTTGCATTACCTTAAAAGAAAAATTGAATTTTTTGAACTGAAAATTCATAAGTTAATTATAATGTGTTTGTAATGCATTTTTATTATCTCTTCAGAAGCAAAAGCAAGAAAGGAGTGGTGGCAGGGTGGCACTCCTCCAGAACCTCCCTCCTTCTGGTTACTCAGATGCTGATATTGTGAAAATTGGTACTAGCTTTGGGAAAGTGCTTAATTACATTGTGATGAGACTCCGGAATCAGGTACTGTCAAAGTATTTCTTTTTAAGGGAGATGGAGGGATCGATTATATATTGGGAATTTCTCAGAAGAAAAATTACTGTATCACTCATAACTTGACTGGAAGATTTAAGTGCATTGTGCATCATGGAAGAAAAAGCTAGCAATGAAGAAAATGCCACTGCGCCTATTGAACTCCTTCTGTTTGGAGTCCCGTCCTTTTGTCCAGATTTCTTTTAGGAGCCTTTAAGTTCTTTTGTTTTTTCACTTGTTTTGGCCCCCTGTGTACTCCTGGATTGATGTAGGTATAGTTTGGGAATTTAAGTTTAACTTTGCCATTACCTTTCCATATCTATAATAAACGGATGTATTTCCTGTATTAAGAAAAACCTTGACAAATTGTGAAGGGGATTATTTGTAAAGGGAACATTTAGATTATTAACTGAGTTTAGTTTCCCAGTGAAGACTGCTTTTGTAACCACTCCTCCTCAGGAGTTACCCAGTCTTGTACCAGTCATGAGATGGGTAGGAAAAATGTGGTGGAGAAGGTAATTCTTCACCTGGAAGGCTAAACATGGTGAGGGTGAGGCACTGTTTTCAAGAACGTCTTAGGTAGTCTATATGTTAAAGATATGACTGATTGTGGCCAGTCTTGTGTAGAATTTCTCCTGACATATCAATATTGTAATTGTCAGGCATTTCTGGAAATGGAGTCAAAGAAATGTATGGTAGACATGGTTAAACATTACAAGAAAACACCCTTAATATTTCATGGCCGAAAAGTAACTGTGGATGCATCTCAGAAATATAAGACACTTGTATTAAAGGTAAGTAATGTTTTGCTTAAATTGTCTTTGGTTAAATTATCTTTTGAGCAGTAATATTATTCGAGTAGTATCAAATGACTTTGTTAAAATGTTAAAGTAGTGAAACTGAAGTGATGGCCTTTTTTAACAAAGCAGCTATCTGTCTAGTATGGCCACTTCTGTAGCGCTGAATACATTTTAATATAATTCAGTGGTAGATCTCCATGAGCTCCACGTGGAATAGTGCAGAAGAAGTGTGAGTCATTCAACTGACTATACCTGGCCCAGCTCTTTGAAACACTTATTTAATTAGTCTGGCTCCCTGTCTCTTGCTCTGTAGCCCTCTTCTTTTTAGAAACATAAAGACAGCCCTTTGAGCCTATGATCATAGTTGATCATCCAACTTAGAACCCTGTTCCTGCTTTTGCCTCATACTTTTGGATCCTTTTAGCCTTAAGAACTATATATAACTCCTTGAAAACATTCAATGTTTTGGCCTCGACCACCTTGCAGTGAGAGAGAATTGCACAGGCTGGCGGAGAATTCCTTAGGCAAGTATGTATTCAGTTCCCTTTTAGTACTTACCACTTAATGAGCTCCCATCATTCTTTCAAATTATGAACTTGCTCCTTAAATGTCTTAATAATTGCCTTGTGGTTCTTTGGTCAATGATCTTTATTACTGATCCTGCTGTCAGTGCAAATTCTTTTTCTTATTTACTCTACCAAACCTACACAATTGAACAGGTCTACCACATCTCACCGTAACATGTTTCCACTTTAAAGCAGTGATTCTTAAAACCTTGGTCTGATCCAAAAAGCAAGTTGCTGTATGCAGTGTCAGGGTTGAAGCCATAGAACATAGAACATTACAGCGCAGTACAGGCCCTTCGGCCCTCGATGTTGCGCCGACCTGTGAAAGCAATCTGAAGCCCATCTAACCTAAACTATTCCATTATCATCCATGTGAGGGAATAGGCCAGAATTCAGGTGGCACCATGCAATAACCCAGTTTCTGAGTCATGGCATGAACTGTCACAAACACAAATAATAACTGTCGCTTTATCGGTAAGACTTCTGCTACCAATGCAACGTACACTTATGAGGTGGATTCTCAACACTTGTAGCTGAAGACAAAGTACTGGCTGAGCATGGAGTCTGACTTGAGACTGAAGCTGTCCATCTTGAAATAAGTCATCACCTTGTTAGAATTGCATCAAATGCATTTCTCCCATTAATTTTGATCACTGTTAGTGTAATGGCGAGTGAAAACACTGGGGTATGACCAGTTTAATTCTCAAACATTTTTGACAGTGGACCATGATATCAGAGGAAAAGATCCCACAGACCCCGCACTGATGTTATCCCACTCGCTTCTCAAAAATATTTGAGAGTTGCTGCTCGAAGGGAAATGAAAGAAGAAATTTAGTGTATTTGTGTTAATACTTCAATACAAAAAGCTTTGACAACCTGTCTGTTTTCAGTAGTATGCCAGTTACGTACTACCAAATAAGTGAAAATTTAAAAAATTACTTTCTCTAGAAATGTTGCCAGCTCAGCTTGTTAATTGGTCACTCTCAACCATTGTGTTAGAGGTCTTTAATTCTTTACTCTCAGCAGGAATTGTTCGGCAACTCTTCATTTTTAACTGTAAACGGGCTGAATCTTGAGCGTTGTAGTTAGTCAGTCAACATTGAGATAAAAGTCTGAGATTTCAAACTTGAACCTGTCCCAGGTGCAAACCGAGTGAGAGTTAACAGTTGTTTTTGAGTAAGATGATATATTGATCATTGTATGTTTGTTTATTATTTCACAAAGCCATGACTTCATTGAAATAAGTTAATTGAATTTTAGCTGTTTTACTGTATTTTCACTTGGCATGAAATGAAATACCTCCAACAGCTTTGTGTTTGACCTTTTGATCTTGGCTATTTGATATTGGGATATGTAGCTCTGATATTTAAGGAGTGTGGGTTCCATGTGAAGAACATAGTTGAACCTGAGCAATTTTATATGGCTGGCCAAAATTTGTAATGATTTGTATTTAATCTATTGTTTCAGAAACCAAGCATCAAGGTTCAAGAACTGTTGAAAGAACAGGATGAAGCAGACAGGTAATTGTTTTTATAGTTGCTTTCAGATCATACATCTAGGACTGCTTGTTTTCACTTATCTAACTTCATCTAGCTGCACCTTGCCTCAGTTCATCTAAAGTACTCATCCGTATCTTTAACATTTCGATTCAATTATTCCAAGCTCTGGGACTCAAATTCTCCCTTCCAAAAATTTGTGATCATCCAAAACACCAGCCATGCCCTATATTGCATCAAGTACCATTCACGCATCAGACTTGTTGGCCTATGTTGATTCCCGGTTAAGCAACACCTTGCTTTTTAAAGTCTGAAATAGAAGCAATCTATTGCAGAAGGTGGAAACAGAAACAAAAACTGAAAATACTGGAGAAACTCAGCAGGTCTGGCATCTGGTAATCACCCAGGTGAAGCAGTGATTTACTTCTACTACTTTAATCCAATTCACCATAAATGGCTCCTCTACATTGGCAAGACCCAATAAAGACTGCACCTCTGCTCTGTCTGCCTGAAAATGCCTAACCTTCCAATTGTCTGCCATATGTTGCTCTTATGCTCACATTTCTGTCTTAGGCCTGTTACATTGTTCAGTGAAGTCCAGCGTACACTGGTGGGATGCAATTTATTTTCTGCTTAGGCACTTGACAGCCTTCACGACTTAACGCTGAGTTCAACAACGTCTGACCATGAATTCTATCTTCCGTTTTTATTACCCCACTATGCCCCCATTGACTTGTTTGCATGGTTTGCACTCGGCAGATCTGACCTATTTTCTGCTGCTAAGACCCACCACTAATACTACTGTTCACATATATCTCTTCTTAACCACCATCCTTTTCCATGTGTACCATTTGCTGCTCCTCTCTATTTTTTTTCTAGACCATAAAACACACTTTTTCTACCCCTTTTCAGTTCCAAAGAAGAATCATATTGGGCACAAAATATTAAGTCTTTTTCTGTCTTCAGTGATGCTGACAGACCTACTGAGTTTCTCTAGCGCTTTCTCTTCTTGTTTTCAAATCTCTTCCCTACCTATAATACCCTGTGGCCAGACAATCTTCAGAGATCTGGACTTGTTTCGGCCTTGGGCACATTTCCAATTGTCAGCTTTTGACCAATGGTAGCTGTTGTCCAGGGCCCAAGCTCTGTATCTCCCTCTTTAAATCTTTATGCCTTACCTTCGTCCTTTTAAGAGCACCTGGAGAAAGAAAGATTCTAGCTGGCGTTTTAGCTTGTTTAATCTTTTGTGAGAACTGTGTTGATTTTAAATTTACAGTATCTACAGTACCGGTTTTGGATTGAGCATGATGTTCACCATCCTAGCTGTGCACAGTTCAAGCATGTTTTAATAAGTAGTTTTTAAATAAAATTGGCAAGTAAGATTCACCTGGGTTTTTAAGCTGTTGAAAATCAGTAAAAGTAATTTCTGACAGGCCTAAAATATTTATCCTTCATGTGAAAGGTCATGTGCTGTTCTAACAATTGATGTTTTACACCACATCCATTCATGACTTAGTTTAGTGTTAAAATGATTTTGACAATCTCAGGCCCCTGGAAATGGTATTTGTGATTTAGGCAAGAATTGTAGGCTGTCATTTCGCTTGCTTATTTGTGATTTCGTTGTTCAATTGTTATTTGAATGAACCTCCAAATTTGCCTTCAGTTTCCATTTGTAACTACCGGTACTGAAAATGGAAAACTTCTAACATTTAACTACAATTACGAAAATTTTGAATCAGGAAAACAAAGATACTTAAATAATTTGTGCGAACTGTCAGAACATCCTATTTCTGATGTAAGGATAGAATTGGATAGAAACAAAGAAACGCAAAATCGATCTTTAGAGTGCTCTTTTATAGCTGGTTGCAGATTTGGAATTGATATTCAAGATTCTATAGAAGTGAGGAGGAATGTTAAGAAAAAGTATGAGAGCTGGGTTGAACGTTGTGTTCCCAACTTTGACACACTTCAGTTGAGTTTTTTTCTATGAACTTTCACTTTGAATGTTGGACCAGATTTGGCTCCACAATTACCATGACTTCAGTAAAGTACTTAATTAGAATGAACAGCCAAGCCAATTCTGTCCTGCTCCAATATCGATGTATACATCATCAGTAGTGTCAGCTGCTAATTTTCATGTATTGACCGAACTAAATCTAATTTCATAGTATAAACTTGTTTTTATATTTTGTTTCTCTCTTCAAAGAAGACGGCAGCGTTCCCGGAGCCCTTCCTCTAAGAAGAAGTTACCTAGCAAATCAAAGAACCCTCCGAAATCTGATGGAGAAAAGGGAGAGCAAAGAACCTCTGAAAGTTCTCCTTCAAAAGAAGTTGGGAAGGAGAATTCCAAGGGAGAAAACAAACCAGAAATAAAATCCGAAGAGAAAGATGAAGTTTTAGAAGAAGCTGTCGCAGCTATTGAGAGTGAATCAGAGCTTATTGAAGAAGGTTTGGTTGAGGATCTGGGAAGTGGAGAGTCGGACAATGAAGAAGCTGACCAAGAGGATTTACTGAAGGAAACGGAGCAAGAAGTGGAAGGAGCAGACTCCATGCAACCAGATTCCAAAACGGAGAAGGAGACAAATGTACAAAACACAGCAGAAACAACTAAGGTGGTAAAAATGGTTTCTTGGTAGTACAAACTTAAACATTGTTAAAAAGAGACTTGGAGTTGAACTTTTCCATCTTGCCCTAGAGATTGAGATGCTGGAGCAGACTTTGGAAGGGAATACTAATTTATACTGCCTGAGAAGGAGGTGCTGATTGTTTAGACAGTAGGGGATGGCGTTGGATCTGTTAGCTGTTAATCTCAACTAGCTGTTCAACCTTAGACCAGGCAGGTAGACTCTGGTTGGCCAGGGCTTTGCAATGGGGTGTGCAGTCTTCATAGCCCTTTTTCAATAAAAAGGTGCAGTGTATATGGAAACATTCTTTTGCCTACATCGAACAGGATGCTTTGTGTGAAATGTGTTGCTTATGTAAATGAAATGCACTGCGAGTCCAACTGAAGGCCTTAAGATGGTTTGTAATGTAATTCTAAAAGTAGTTTAGATTGTTTAGTTGACCAGTAGCAGAATTACATCTAGTGTTGGACACGTTTGAGTTTTACAAACATGACTGCTTGGGTACAGTTGATATGCTCTCTGCAGACAGTCAGAGGTATGTTTTGTTTTTTATATGGTATACCAGTTGTTTAGTTATTTGACCTGCATAGCATACTGAAACTCACATCACGTTACTCATTCATGTAATTGACGGAACATCTATTTTGGCTTGAAATCAACATTCTATTATAGGAGAACACCACTAGTGTATTTACTAAAAGGTAGCAGCATGAGACCAGCTTTCCTGTTCAAATTTTTAGAAAGGTATTTTTTAAACGTTTTTGATACGTCCTAAGCTTGCAATAGGTACAAGTAGATAACCCACTGGCAGATTTGTTGACTAACGCATTGAGGAAAGGCACTGCTGCCTCACAGCACCATCGACCTGGGTTCAGTTCCACCCTGGGGTAGCTGTCTGTGTGGAGTTTGCACGTTCTCCCCGTCTCTCCATGGTTTTCCTCCCACAGTCCAAAGATGTTCAAATTAGGTGAATTGGCCATGCTAAATTGCCCATAGTGTTCAGGGATGTGTAGGTGAGGTGCATTAGCCATGGGAAATGTAGGGTTACAAGGATAAGTTTGGGTGGGATGCTCTTCAGAGGGTCGGTGTGGACTTATTGGGCCAAATGGCCTGTTTCCCCATTATGGATTCTGATTCTGTAGTTCTACTTGTTTGATTGCTCTGTCTCAATGATGGATTTGAGCACAGATAGAGTTTATTAAGTGTGTAAAGGGATTTAAGTATTGCAAACATACCATCTAAGTATTAGAAGTATGCAAGAGTTAGGACACTGCTGGTCATTCCGTCAAAGACATGGTTCTCCTGGTAACCAGTGAAGATTTCAGTAAGGATTGTGACTCGAGGTGATACCACGGCAATGCCATCTATTAGAGTATGAAGGATATTGTTAAAACCAAACAAAACTGCACAAGTTGCTAAGTTTAAATTCTATGAAAATAGCCTCAGACACTGGCACATCTAGATTACCATGATATAATGACTTAATGTAAATATGAATGACTTTCTTAAGATGTTGAACAAGCTAGCAGTACTGAAGGAGTGAAAGTGAAGGAGTGTTGCACATAGTATATGGAACATACACACAAGATCAGTTGCAGCAGCTTATTTACCATTTGGCCAATTTGTGTTTCACAGTGCCAGTTGTATACAAAACAGAGTGTAAAAGTGTAGTGATTTTGTGTTGTTCTCATTGCCTTATAAACTGGGTGTTCCCCTTCAAAGTTTTTTTTTGATTCTTACACCCCATTCCTGATGAATGTAAAACTAAAAGCTTTGACTTTGGTGTCTTTGTAGTTTCATGTGGTCAAAGCACAACTATATTTGATTCATTTTGATTGGCAAAAATCTGGTCTACAGCAATGTATAAGGATAATGTTTACTAAATTGAAACTTTTTTAAACAGGCACCAATTATTCGAAGGAGTAAAAGACACCAACAAGCAGCATCCCAGGTATGAACTTCACCTTAATAGCTGTTTATTTTAAGTTTTTTTTTCACACAAACTGATGGCTTTTAGCTACATAGTAGTAATATCTGACAATCCTTACCTTTTCCCCACAAAATATATTGCCCTGCCATTCAAAAGGACCAGAAGTCTAACTTTCATAATGGGCTCATATCGGAACCAAGTTTAGTATTTCTTGGCAAGAAAAGACATAAAAGGAAGTGTTTTCTTGCATTCCACTAACTGCGCCTTACAACCAATGAAAGTTGTCTTAGTAGCTTCCTGTAAATAACATCAAGGAATGCTTTGGTGTTGCACTGTCATGGTTTGTGGCATGTAGATGTGGATTCAAATTATTGACTTCTTGCAAATTAAGTGTTTCACACGTCATTTAATGGTAAAATTAACTTTTCATTGGGAAAATTGAGCCATCCAGTAAATGTTAACCGAAAAGTTGCAGTTTTAATGTGTAACCTGTAATTTAAATTTAAAAATATGTTGAGGGTAAAATGATCATTTTGCACAAGAAAGGGACTGAAGATAACTAGTTCTGTACAATGTTTAAAAGAACTTGATGGAACAGACTGCAAAACTACCTAAAGGCTAGCCTTCAAAATAAGAAGAATGCAACTTTGCCCTCAAGTCACCTGTTGGTCTGGTAAACCATTATATGCAGTTCTTCACAGGAAGATATGATGTGCAGCATTTGTGCCTTTTATTTCGCTGATGGTTAATATAAGCTTTTGTTACTTGCAGAGACTATTGGGGAAGCATGCATCTGCTACAGGGTACATTTGTGTAGCCTTATTTCATCAAGATGTGATAAAAGCACCAAAGTACTCCTTTTAAGAATTCACAGAAATGTCCAGCATTTAGCTGGGCACACTTGTCATTTGACAGTGCAAACCAATTGGAGTAGAATTGGGTTACAAGAAATTGCAGACGAGTTGTTGTTCATTGAGATCAATCGGTGAAAGGGTGTTCAAACCCTGCAAATATGGCTAAACCTGTGAGAAGGTTAAAAGTGCTGTTGCTTTGAAACAGCATGAAGTTGAAAGAGCAAGGGGAAAACTACTGGTGCAAGTCAAAAAGCAGGCATCATTAAGGAGTGAGAGATTCAACTGTTAATTTTTCAACCAATTTCAAGCACAGAGTGTGAATACTTGGAATAGTTCTACAAGAGGCATCCTTACTTTGACAAAACTCATTCCTAGGTCAACAGTGTTTCATATGAATTTGGCCGGAGGTGCATATTCAACTTATAGTGATCTTAGTATTAATGTCTGCGACACACCCTAGTATATTCCTGTTCAGGCTGAATGATAACCATCCATCACTAGTCCCTACTTTGTCTCGTAGTGAGTTTAGTGCGCATGCTGTCATTGTCAGTTTTAATCTCGTGTACATTTTTATATCCATTCATGGATGTGGTTGTCACAGGCTCGACCAACTAATGTCCATCTGTAATAGCCCTAGAGAAGATGATGCGAGTTGCCTGCATTAACACCTGCAGTTCTTGGGATATAGAGCATCTAGTTTACTCTGGAAAGGGCTTTCCAGGATTCTGACCCAGCGACATCGAAGCAATGGTTCAAAGTCAGGATGGTGTGGTTCTTGGAAGGGAGCTTGCAGGTGACAGTGTTCTCGTGCATTTGTTGCCCTGTCCTTCCAGATGGTAGAGGTTGCAGGTTCAAAGGAGCTTTGGTGAGTTACTCCAGTGCATTTTATACATGGTACACACTGCTGCTACTGCATTGGAAGGTAGTGAATGTTAAAGATGGTAGGTGAGTTCTAATCAAATGGGACTGTGTTGTCCTCGATGATATTGAGCATTTTCAGTGTCTTTGGAGCTGCATTTATCTAGGCAAGTGGAGAATGTTTGAACACACTCCTGATTTGTGCCTTGTAGATGGTGGACCGGCTTTGAGGAAACCAAGAGTCAGTTAGTTACTCGTTGCAGAATTTGTGACCTCTGACCTGTTCCTGTAGGCACAGTATTTGCATGGCTTTTCCACGTCATTTTCTGGTTAATGAAACTCCCAGGTTGTTAGCGAGGGTTCAGCAATTATAATACCATTGAATATCTAGGGTGATGTTGAAGATTTTGTTTTGTTGTTGGAGATGGCCATTGCCTGGGACTTGTGGGGTGCAAATGTTACTTTTCATTTATCAACTCAAACCTGGACATTATCCAGGTCTTCCTGCATTTGATCATGGCCTACTTCTGTATCTGAGGTGTTGCGAATGGTGCTGGACACTGTGCAGTTATCAGTGAATATCCTCACTTATAGGAAAGGTTGTTGATGGAGCAGCTGAAACTGATTGGGTGTAGGACACTACCCTGAGGAACCCATGCAGGGATGTCTTGGGGCTAAGCTGACTGACCTTCCAACAGCCACGATCATCTTTCTTTGTGTTAGGTACAACAAGTGGAGAATTTTGCGTCTGATTCCAATTGGTTCCAGTTTTGCTAGGGCTCCTTCATGCAATACTCAATCAAAAGCTGTATTGATATCAAGGCACTGTCATTTTAGCTCTGTAGTTCAGCTGCTTTGTCCATGTTTGGATCAAGGCTGTAACGAATGGCCATGATGGAGCCCAGACTGAGCAGCGGTGGAAAAATACATCTGGAGCAAGTAGATTGGCAAGGCCAAGGCTGAGTAGATGTTTCCCTGTAGTTGGTTCCCTTGCCGTGGACCTAGACTAGCTGTTTTGTCCTTTAGGACTTTATCACTTCAGTTAGTCTGATCGAGCTGTGCAGTGATTGAAATGGAAACCACAACCCCACCCAGAGTATATTCTGTTCTCTTGGCACCGCCACTACTTTTTGCATGTGGTGTTCAACATGAAGCAGTATTGATTAATCAGCCAAATTGTTGCAGAAAGTGACAATCAGCAAGAGGTTTCCTTGTCAGTGTTTTAGCTGATATGATCAGATTTCTTGGGGTCTGGAGTCAACGTTAAGGACTCCCTGGGAATTCCTTCTCAATTGTATGTCACTTTGGTGGGTCTGTCCTGCTGGTGGGACACAACATACTCAGGATGGCCTGTGCTCAAATCTGGGACATTGTCCATGAGGAATGATTCTGAAAGTATGAATATGTCAGGCTGCTGCTAGATCAGTCTGAGACAGCTCTCCCAATTTTGGCACGAGCCCCCAGACATTAGTCAGGAGGACTTTGTAAGGTCAACAGGGCTGTGTTTGCTGTTGTTGTTTCTGGAGCTTAGGTCAGTGTCAGGTGATCCATCTGGTATCATTCCTTTCTTTCAACTTTGTATCAGATTGATCCAGCTGAGTGGCTTGGTAGGCCATTTAAAAGGGTAGTCAAGAATTAATCACATTGTGATTGGCCTGGCATCACATGAAGGTAATGCCGATTTTGTTCCCTAAGGACTATGGTGAACCAGGATTTTTTCATATGACCATCAGTAGTTATTACGTGGTTATCATTAGGCTAATTTTTAATTACAGGTTTAATTGAATTTATATTTTACTGTCAGCCTTGGTGGTATTTGAATTCATGTCCTGTAGACCATTAGCCTGAGTTTCTGAATTACTATTGAGATTAGCAAAATTAGGGAAAGCAGTGGCTAATGAGTCTATTGCATAGTGTTGTCAGATGTGTTTTGAAGGTTTATAGACATATCATCTACCACATGACCCTCATTGACCCCTTCTGTTATTTTATTAAAGGATTCATTCAGATTAGTCAACTGTGACTTACTTTAACCCGTGCTGACTTTCTTTTATTGGTTTCTATTTTAAGTGTCAAATTATTATTGCCTAATGGTTGTCATTGAATGTTTCCCAGCCATTCACTACCATGCGTGTTGTTGCTGGTTTATCTCCTTTTTAATAGATATATAACATCTGCAATTCTTAAATGCTGTGGTACCAACCCCATATCCAAACAATATTGGAAGATGGTGGGCAGAGGCTCAGCAATTTACACCTATCCTTCCCTCAGGAATCTAATAGACATTCAATCTGATTTTGAGGATTGTGAACAATTTGAGCATTACTTTTCATCTCAATTCAATGTGATTATTTTTTTCTCTGTCCTTTTTTACACCTGTATTAGCATTATATCAGTCATTAATTTGATCCAAAACACTTAGTTAACAGCTCAGCCATGTCTGCTTTCTTTTTGAAAGTGTGCCTAATTTTTGGCCTCTTACTGGCATTGCACTTGGACAGAGTTCCTTGTATTCACTGCTCGTTGTGTAAATATGCTTCTTTTCGTTTTGTTCGCTTTTTTAAAATACTTTTTTCTATGCTTTTCTCAACTCAAATTGCTACCGGACTATGGAATTGTCATAGCCTTCCTTCTTCAGTTTTATTTTAACTGTATCTTAATCATCCAAGGAGCTCCAGCTTTAGATGCCCTCACTTTCCCCTCTGTACTGAACTAGCTCCTCCTTCAAAGCCTCCATTTGTTCAATTACTGTTGATTCCTGTCAACTTGTGCCAGATCCTTTTTCTTAACCTTGCTGATGTTAGGCCTGTTGAATTGTGTTTTTTATGCTTGATAACTAATTACATATTGAATAAGTAGAGGAAAGAAGATGTACAGTCAAATAGGTGAGACTTTTATGTTGAAGGAAAGAAGTCAAACAAAAGGCAACGACTAGATAAAATCTTGTGATCCCGATCTTGTGTGTTGGAAGAATTTTTAAAAATGTATTTATTTTTGCCCAATTTGATTCTGAAATAAGAGGTTCCAGTTTAAATTTGGAATGTGTTTGGATTCCTATAGGAGTTGAAAGAAGAGTGCTTTCCTGAAAACATTGATGAGTTTGTGACTGTTGATGAAGTTGGTGATGTAGAAGCTGGAAATCTGGATCTTGAAGATCTGATGTCTTGTGAAGACAACAGTAATAAATTGGAAACTGATGATGCTGATACAAGCATCCAAACAGAGAAATCAGAGGACACCGGTGAACAAAAAGATGAGGATGTGAACAAAGCTAAAAGAAAACGTGGTCGTAAGAGGGGAAAGAATGTTAAAACTAAAAAGGCAGAACAAGGTGACAAAAAAGATAGTGGTGAAGAAACAGAAGTGAAGCAAGTTGGAGATGAAACAACTGAAAATAAACTTGATGGTGATGAAAGGAATGACGTGCAGGAAGAGACAACGTCATCTTGTGTGGAGCCAGAAAGCAAGCGTGCTCGATCACGATCCCCTACTCCAGATGAGTACAGGCTTGGACCATATCAGCCCAACAATCCTGTAGGTAGGCAAAGATTAGTTGTGGTAATTTTTTTTACAGGATTTTTCATCTTGAGAAAACCTGGTTTTCAGCATGTAAATTTTCTTACGTACAATGTATTTTTGTATTCGTTGTTTTCTATAATGCATCTACTTGAATATTGTTGAGAAAAGACATTTTGTAAAAGCTTTTCATCAAGCAGTCGTCAGGATGTTTCGTAAGAGTGCCAATTCCAAAGGAATACCAACATTTACACCGCTATGAGGAGAATGCTGGTTGTTTGTACAGTGGGCACAGATTGGTTGAGGTATTGCTATGGAGAATGCACTGGTGCTTTATTTAAATTTTCACCAGGCGGGTTGACACTGATTAGTTAGGACATTGCACTGCGAAATGAATGAGTAAATGGCTGTTACCTATTTTGTTGAGTTGAGAAATGTGCAATGCATGTACATGTCCTTTCTGTCTGCAAAGGAATATGCTGTTGTATACAATATATCAGTCTTTGGAACATAACATACTGAGGTTGAGTTTCTGATTACCGTGGAAGGGCAAGTCTCAGATTTTCGAGCAACAGATGAAGTGAGGTGGTTTAGGCTATTAGTTTACAGTAATGTGTACATCAGGATGCTGTGGTCAAACCAAAGTCATTCTATCTATTGTACAAATGAGTAATGTGTACAAAATTTCAGTGCTGGTGTGATACCGGTATCTAGGCCTATTGTCCCAAACACTGGCAGGTCATATCCAACAGCATGTCCCCTTACATGTTTATACTGACTGTATTAATCTGCCTATGCCTGCAAAACTTTGAACAGAGAAACGATTCTACAGACAGACATTTGCTACATAATCCTGTATGTGAAGAATTACACTGACAACTAATTTAAGACATGCAGTGTGGTGCACTTGCATGTACTGGAAGCTACATATATTAATGTACAGGAGCCTGTGTTTGCAGACACTGCACTGGTTCCGACTCAACTGAATCAGTGGTACCCGTTAATTTGTTCACTTCTCAGGGCAATGTCCTAACTAATCCAAGTCAGCTTGTAATTGTCAATCACCATTCATGGGTGCATTCTCCATGGCAATGCCTGCATCAGTCCGAGTTCATTTGCCAACTTGGCACTCTCTTGTGCAGCATAAATATTACCTTTTCCCTTGAATTAGTATCCTTGTGAAATGAGTGCAGGAACGAAAATGTTTGACAAAATGTGGCTCTTCTTCACCTATACAGTACTCAAGTTCTGTACTACCAAATGATGGTGGTGTTAGGCATTAGTAATTGTTCTTTTGAAGTCTTAGACTGTATATGTTGTGTTGTAATGGTCTGAATGTAGTGTGTAAATAATGCTGCTGGGAAAGCTCTTGTTGTTTAGCTGTTACCAGAGCTTGTTTGGACCAGCCGCGTCAATATGGTTGCTGCTGAAGTGGGTCAGAGGCTGGGTATCTTGTAGTGAATGACTCATCTCCTGGCTCAATTGTTACTCTTGTGCGTCACTTAGAAGGCACGAGTCAATAACATAATGGAATACTCCCCGCTTGCTGGGTGTGTATGCAAATGTCAGGCATTAGTATTCGACTTTCAACACTCTGCGGGGAAGAGCAACTCATCCACCGCTGGTGGCTACATCTTCCCACCTGTACATAAAGGATGCACTTAAAAACACTTCATTTAGCAGCACCTTCCCAAACTGCAACCTTTACCAACACAAGAACACGAGTGTGTGCGTGGGAACACCATCACCAAGTTACAATCTAAGTCAAACACCCTTTGATTTGCGTATTTGTCACCATGCATTTACGGTCATAATCAAAATCCTAGAGCTCCCGATCTCTCAGATTTGAGAGAGGCTCTTGGCTCATGGATGACAGCAACTCAAATCACAACTTTGAAGATGACTAAGGAACTTGACTGGGAGGATGCTGAAAAGATGTTTGCCTTTTTGGGAGAGAATAGAACTAGGGGACAAGTTTTAAAACTAGGGTTCTAAAAATAAGGGGTCTTCCGTTTAGGATGGAGATGGGAGGAATTTCTTCTGATGTTTGAGTGTCTTTGCAGCAGTTCTTCTGAGAGTGATGGAGGCGTGTTCACTTAATGCTTTTGAGGTGGGTAGATAGTTTCCTGACTAACCAGAAGTTGCAAGTTACCATGGGCAGGAAGAAAAGTAGAGTTGACACCATAGTCAGATCAACCATGATCTTGCTAAATGGCAGAACAAACGCGAGCAGGATGAGCAATAGATGCTGCTTAAAGTGCTTTGTTAACAGTAAAAGGGATCAAAAAATGTCACAATTTAAATGAAGTCAATGCATTGTGCTGTCTTTGTGCCCCAGTGGGTCCTGGAATGGGTGTGGGAAATCAAGTGCTTTATTTGAAAAATACATAAAAAGACCATTTTTGAAATTTCAAAACTGGCTAAGATTTGTTTTGAAAAGAGTCCATTTTGAAATTAGGTATTAATTCAGAGCCTATATGCAGGTATGAAAGGCTTTTGTTTATTTATCACAAACGGTTGTTGCTGAAGTGGTAGTGACCTATTATTTTGATTATGTCTTCACTTTATTCAAGGGCTAGATTATGTGGTTCCGAAGACTGGCTATTACTGCACACTCTGCTGTCTGTTTTACACAAAGGAAGAAGTGGCAAAGAAAACACATTGCAGCAGCCTGCCTCATTATCAGAAACTAAAGGTAAAGTTGTGATGTTCTTTTGTCCTGAAATTTATATAGAGTACTAGTTTGTAAATTAAGAACATAAGAACTAGGAGCAGGAGTAGGCCATCTGGCCCTCCGAGCCTGCCCCGCCATTTAATAAGATCATGGCTGATCTTTTTGAGACTCAGCTCCACTTACCCGCCCACTCACCATAACCCTTAATTCCTTTACTGTTCAAAAATTTATCTAGCCTTGCCTTAAAAACATTCAGCGAGGTAGCTTCAACCGCTTCACTGGGCAGGGAATTCCACAGATTCACAACCCTTTGGATGAAGGAAGTTCCTCCTGACCTCAGTCCTACATCTGCTTCCCTTTATTTTGA